GGCCCAGCACAAGAGAGAGACGTGGCCAGGGGTGGGAAGGTGATTTGCCCTGATTTCTCCCTTTTTTGTTGTTAATTGTCTGTGGTAGTGATGATGTATGGTGAATGAAAGCATGAGGTAAAAATCAATGCAGAGGAGACGACGATGCATTTCAACCTTTGATCAAATATGAGAAGGCGATGATGCTGCTTGGGCACCAGCAGGATTAGCCAGACTGAAACGTTTCTGGATCTGCCTGGTCAGGCTGTGGTTTAATAAATATTGTATGAGCTGTCACACTTTGCTTGTTTAAACTGAGAAATCCCTGGAACAGCAGTGGATTGCAAGCGTGTCTTGTATTTATTTCTCAGGCAGGAGCGCAGCCGTAGAGCATTATTAGCAATAATACATCTCTGCCTTACACTGTGCAAGGACAGGTTCCCTGTGATGTATGATGGAGAGGTGGAAATGGAGTCAGTGGTAAAAACTGAAATTGGAGCTCGGTGAATTGTGCTGGGAGAGGCAGCACCCAAGATTTCTCAGAATTTAGGAGCCTATTTATCTGCCTGCAGCACACCTTATTTACAGCAACTTAATCTGCTCGCAGCAGACACAAATGGCTCAGCATCCCGTCAAAAAATCCATCAGAAAATCAGTAGCTGACCAGTTGTGAACTTGTCCAAGTGACAAGTGGGCATGCTGACAGAGACGGCGTTTGGGGTTTTTTTCGTGGAAAAAGTGCAGTGTTGGGAGCGTGGTAGCTGACTCTCAAAAATGAAAAAAATATTGTTGTGAAAATGAAAAGCGTAATCTAAATCTTTCTGATTTTTTTTCTCTGATTTTTTTCTGATCTTTTTTTTTTTAAAACTAAAATTCTTAGATGTAGAAAGAGAAATCCACGCAGCACCCCACGTGAGTGAGAAGTTAATTCAGCTCTTCTGGAATAAAAGTGAGTTCACGTTTGTGGCCACTCTGCAGCAAAAGGCATCGACTTCTGGAGTTATCCTGTCCATCCGAGACTTAGAGCACAGGTAAGGGGAAATCGTTTCTCTCTTGTAGCAGTAGCAACATAAAAGATCCTGAGCACTCTGGTCTGCTTGGGCAATGTGTTGAAATGGTGGATGTAAAATCTGACGTGGAAGTTAGAGCATTTCTTCATCGTTTGCAATGTGCTACTTTTTTCCAGGTTTTCTTTTGTTTGTTTGTTTTGGTTCGTTTTTTTTTTTTATTATTTGTTTGTTATAGGAGGAACTCATGTATCCTGGCCTGTAAAATAACTTTTAAACAGAAAGATCAAAGCCAATGTAGTATGGATGCTCTGGAAGTTACAAACCTTGTAATGCAATTTTCCTGACTAGGTTAGCATATGTGCTTTGGAGTTTGCTTTTCAATAAAAGTTAAACTTGCATGTGTTTCTTGCTTCGCTATGTTTTATAACATTGTGAAAGAATATGTCTTCTTGGAGGTTCAGCAGTTAAGCCATTAAGCAATTAAACCACTTGTGCTTCCCTATGATACTGTGTACGTTTTCTTCCCAATATAATACACTGTATTCCTATTTCATGCATGTCTTTTTTTCCCTTTTTTTTCTGATTGTCAGTGTAGGGGATAAAAAAGAGGTCTCTGATTAATTGTTATAGTGACAGATATCTGTTTGTTTAAAAAAAAAACCACAAAAGAGTACACTTGGTGTTATGGTCCACAATACAATTCCAGTGATGTTTTGATGTTTCAAAGTGTGTGTTGCATCAAATAGGCTCCTACTTGTAACTTTCTGAATGCTTTTTGAATAATGTCTTAGGTCTTGAAGGACCTTTGTGTTTAGTCTGACACATAAAAGTCTAGTTCTAGTCTTTTCTGTTGTAATACAAGTTATAGGACATTCTTTGGTTGCTCCCATTTCAGATATAATACCAGTTGTTCTGCAGCACTTCCTTTATGAAAAAGAAAATAATCCTATTGGTGTTTGTCTTAATCATGTACATGATACTCAACTCTTAGCCCAAATTCTTACCTTCTTTTGAGAAAGTATATGAAGGAGAAGGCAGTGGCTTCATTATGACCAAATGGTCAACGATGGCTTTTGCCAGTGCAACAGCAGAGATGTCCAGACAAGGATGGTTAAGGGGAGGACTCTGTTTCCCTATTCTATCATCATACTTTTCTGTCACCTCTACTTGCTTATTGATCTTTAGTTTACTTCATTCCTTCTTGCATTTTTCAGGCCATGGTCTCAGTCTAGAAGAATATAATTTTATGTTACAGAGGGATCCCTCCCTCCATCACCTAGTGTTTTCCTTCTCTTACTTTGTCATTCCTTTTGCCCTTAGTTTTCAATTCCTCCAGGCTTTTCCAGGCCACTGTAGCTCTCTGAAGTCATGGTTAACAGGATCAGTTTGCCACTTCAGGGTTTATTTATTTATTTATTTATTTATTTATTTGAGAAACAGGATGTTGAGCACAGCAATTGAATGGACAAACAGTCATTTTGTTAAGTGCCTGCACTTAACAAAATCCAAGGTCAAACCAGACAGGCAGTGATGATTATACAAAGCAAGGCACATGGATTTTTAGATATGGCATCTACTGAATGCAGCTACTCAAGTCCTCTATCTTGACAGGCAGAGGCTTGTAGAGAGATGTGCTATGCAGGAGTAATCTTGGTTGAACAAAATACACTGCTGTTGCCCTCTCTGGCACTGAGGTTATCTGTAATATTTAAAATTATGACATCTGCTTAAAAATATATGCAGTTGAAGGATTGTGTGCTGGTCTCAGTTAAACCTTTGTAGCTCCCTGTAGTAATTGAGGAATTTTGTCTGTGTAGTTTAATGTAACAGTCAAAACAGGCATGCCCAGTGTTGCTCATGACTGCTGTTACTTTAAGTGTCTGGATACTGCAATTATCCTTTTTTTTTGGACTCATTGTGTATCACTTGAAGTCATTGTTTCTCAGGTTGTTACTCAGACCTTGGTAAAGGCAGTGCTTTCAAACCATTAGGTTTATGATGACAGGAATTAATTAAGTGGATGGCAATGGAGAAAATATTTTTCAGCATAGGTTTGATCATGATTATGGGAACAAGTATAGGGGTACCTTTATTACTTAACCAATATTGGTTTTGGCTACAGAAAAACCAGTAACTCTTCTCAATTTCTTTTCATTGCACCAACTAGGAGATATTATATATAGTTAAGGGCATAATGTTTAACTTATCTGCAAAAGTGGCCAAGTTAAAAAGTTTAAGGCTTCAGGTCATGCAGGAAGTCAACAACACCTGAATAAAGGAAGCTGTGTTAGCTGTTGCTACCAGAGTTCATCTCTCTCGGGGATATGAACTTGTCTTTTTTTGATTGTGCACAGATTTAATAGGTGAGAAAGAGGTGTTATTCCAGGCAATGAGAAGGTGTGTGTGTATATGTAGACATACACACGTGTATATGTTTGAAGCTACAATCTGGAGGCATAACAGCAGAGGTATTTACCTCATGGCAAACTGTCTTTTCATGTAGTGGAGGTGACTGTCTCCATAGAATTCCATAGAATGCTTGGTTTAAATATCACTTCTCTAGTAAGTTTTAGCGGGATTTTATTTTCTGGTGGAATGGAACTCTTAAACTGAAGATATTAAAACACGATTAATACAGTTTTGCTTGAAGTGGGTGATTTAGATATGCTATTTTGTTTAATTCTAAAGGGATATTTCACAGCAATTAGAGATTTGCTGTTAATTTTTATCATCATTTGATGGACAGGAATTATACTAGGATGATGGCAAATGCATCTTTGTTAATATTTTGTTGAGTCAGTTTAATAATGATAAAGACTTTGTTTTCATGATTCAAACGTATTAAAATACAGCTTGGAAAATAGAAAGCTTAATTAACACAGATAAAGTCTAATTGAAGAGTCTGATAATTTGTGCAGATTGGTGCACATAGTTATCTGGAATACAGTGGTAAATTAGAAGATTATATTTCTGTTCCTAAATTATAGACAATGAAATGTAATATAGGGTGGACAAACATGTTACTTGGGGATGCAGAAGGTGGAAACTATTTTTCTTGACTGGAGAATTACGCTAGCTGATTCTTCCTAGAGGAGCTTTCTGATGTTTTGCTCACAACCTTTGACTCTTCAGAGCACCAAAACACTTGGAAAAGGCCATCAAGATATTTAAAATCCTACGTAGTAAATCCTTATTTCAAAAGTGATTTAATACAATTTCATCTGAAGTTGTCTGCCTGCTCCCTACCTGCTCTGGCCTTGCATGGTCCAGAGCCCAAGAACATAAATTAGATGGAGTCAGTATTGCCTTTCAGCTGTTTAATCCCTGGGTTTGAGATATATTGATGGCTCTTTTCCACCACTGGCCAAGATCAGTATCTGGAGAAATATATCAAGGATGTTCAGGTACCCATCTGTTATCATTCTTTCTGAAGAGTATTTAAAACCATGAGATCCCACCATGATAGAACTGAGGAACCAGTCATAAGATGAATTTTGTGAAGATTTTTCTTCAGGGAGCACAAAAAACTTTATTTATTTGTTTATTTATTTATTTATTTATTTATTGTGCTTATAACTTGTGTCCAGGACCTGAACTTCAGAAAATTTGTGCCATGCCAGATACTTTGGAAACCTGTTTGAAAGCTGTAAGCTGATTGTACTGCTATGGTGGAGTTCTGGAGTGGAAAATCTGGCCCTCCACTACGTAGCAGCAAGCTGTGTTGATACAAATATTCAGGGGGAGGGCCTGACAAATGTGTCAGGCTCATAGTGAAAGACTTTTATTCCTTGCAAGTCAGTTTTGGATGGGGAAGGGCAAAGAGGCATCTCATATACTGCTGAATAGTTCTCCCCAGGTGACACCATGAACAGCTTCTGAGACTGCTGAGGAGTAGATAGAAAGCTGTATGTTCACAAATAACAGCTGGAAGACTACCAGGCCACTCTATGTTTAATTAAAAACACAAAGGGGTAATAAGCTGGTTAAATTAATCACTGAAACCTAACTGATGAAAGGAAGCCTATGGAAGTGACTTCTGACCCTAGTTGTAAACCTGAAAAATTGGATTTACTCCCTGCTATGCTTTAGATTATTCTCTGCAAGATGGGCTTACGTATATTGGATTCTGAGATGCCCAGTATTCAAAGAGGGAAGGAAAAACTCTGCAAATGTCTCCATTAACCTTTTTCTTTTAGGGTAAAGGGCACATCTTCATGAATATTTATATGTAGAATTGCTAAACTGGAAAGCTGTAAAGAGAATATAAAGATCCAGCCCTACTTCCATCCCTCTGAATGAGGTGATGGGAAATATGTGAGACATCTACACGCCTTTTTTTTTTTCCTTCTCAAAGGTCTTTAGAGATGCAAATGCAGATAGAATTGTGCCCACCTGCTTCTGTGCTCGGGGTTAAAGTATGCGAGAGTGCAAAGTGAAGAAGAGGTGTTACATAAATCTTCCGCTGATTTAAGCATTGTGAAAGAGGAGCCGCTGCTTGAGGAGCTACCTTCCATCCTGTGGCTCCCCGCTGACAGCAGGTGTTTTATGTACACTAGGCTGACAATTGTTGTCTCTCTGAAACATTAACATGCTGCTCATAACCAGCTGTTGAAGCACATTGATTGGGCCACGCTGGCAGTCGGAGGAGAACGGCTGACAGTTTGAAACTCTCTAAAACCGAGTTTGGACAGTGCAGAAATGTTACGGCCAGCCAGCAGCAGGATGTGTGGCTCCCCCAGGAGCCTTCTCCAACATGCTGAGTTATTCTGTTGGATTGTTTTATGACCCTCTGATACAGGCAAAGAACCAGGGTGTCTCAGGCTTACGCTAAATGCAGCTCTCCGAAAACTGTCCGCTGAATTTGGGCTGCTCGTTAAGAATGTAACTCCCCTAGTTAACAACGCAGTTAGGTGTCCAGAGCACATTATTGATGTTCATTTGCTTGGTTGCCAAACAGGCTGGGTGATGTGCCTGGGGTGTGTTTAATTTTTTTTTTTTTTTTTGGCTTTTGTTTGCAGTTT